TTTCCAGAGACATTTTAGGAAAGGTCTCCAAATTTGATACTTCTAGCGCAAGCCGTTCAGCGGCTATCTGAGATCAAAGTTGGGCCTCAAAAGCCCCTTCAGACTGAAATGGGTTTAAAAATCGGGTATTTCTTCTTGTCTTCTTTTCTTCACCAAGAAATAGAAAAAGTTCAAAATGTATGATTTTTGTATGTAATGTGGACACAGAGGTTCCCACATCAGTTTGCAAAACAATTGAGCTGGTAGCATGTTGATAATTTCTAAAAATTAGCAAAAAACTGCTCTGGGGTCCGCGCGGACCCCAGGTGTACAGATTAATCAGTCCGGGAAGGTGTACTGTTGAGGGTTAATCCATCTTAATTCCTCTGTTGTCTTCTCTATCTATGACCCTGCCCCCCTCCCAGTCTATCACACAGTTGTTTCTGACGTCAGCAAGGTAAATAGTTTGGTTGTGTAGAAGAAAATTCTTGTATCCTATACATAACCAACCTGATGAAGGTATTTTCGGATATAAAATGTGAAGTTGATTGATTGATTGATTGATTGATTGATTGATTGATTGATTGATTGATTGATTGATTGATTGATTGATTGATTGATTGATTGATTGATTGATTGATTGGATGGCTGGCTTACTGGCTGGCTGGTTGGTTGGTTGGTTGGTAACGTTGTTCAACAGTAGGGATCAAATTTTACTCAAATTAAACCCAAATTCGTTTCAATTTTTGTAGAGAGCTAGGCGTGACCTAATTCTAGTCAGGGTGCTCCCGAATGTCAGCCGAACGTGGTCGGCTGGTGTTCGGAAACAAACACGGGGGGGGGGGTCGTGGATGTGTGACAGTGACAGGGCTTAAGTGATACCTTAATAGGCTCACCGCTAACAGATTTACACGTCAATGAAGGTTAGGCATCCAGGTTATAAGATACGCCAATTGACACTCGGTGGAACATTTTTTAATAATCCACCAAAATACTTACTCAAGCAACCTGAAAAGATTTTGGAAACAGAAGTTTAAGGTAGTATATCCAATACCTTTCGTCAGTGATATTGACTTCTTTTGGCTTGAATGACTAGTGTCAAGACGAAGGTAGTGGATGCTACCTGAAGCGTCTGACAGTTTCCGAAATCATATCCAGTTGATTGTCATGAGTAACTCTTATGAGTGACAGATCATTCAATTTATCAATCCTTTTACTTTATCTCCAATTGCTTTATCTCCAATTGCTTTATCTCCAATTGCTTTAAAAAGAGAGAAGAAATCTTCAAGGCCTAGATTAGTTTATTCTCTAGTAGTTGTTAAGACTTTTACGTTATACTGTTATCCTTGTATCCTATGTATCATGTTACTCAGTATGATGTACATGTAACATCACACACTGATGTATTATGCATTTAACCCCATGGGCATATGAACATGCAATCAAAGATTCATTCAACTTGCCACTTCTTGTGGGCATGTATGTTGTGGCTATTCCACACTAGAGGCTAATTACACTCCGCAGCAAGAATAACGTTGTTCGTGCGACCTCTCTTCTCTAAGGCGTGTTTTGCTCTTGATAAGCCACTTCCCCTAGGCCTAATGAATGACTTCACGCGTGATCTACAGCGCCATTAGTTCTTAGAGGTTCTGAGAAAAGGGTTTCACCCAGGGTACAAAGAGGTTAAAGAGGGCTGAAATCTGTGCAGAGGTCAGCTCTAATGGTAGGTACCGCCGGGACACCATGATTCACACCGTATATGCTGAATATATGGGTCACTGGAGAATTAGATTACTCCTTTGTCGCTTGCAGCGGGATTTTTCAGACATATATTGTTAAATTGTTTTTGGTCTGTGTGTGTATGTGTGTGTGTGTGTGTGTGTGTGTGTGTGTGTGTGTGTGTGTGTGTGTGTGTGTGTGTGTGTAGTGTG